AATTAAGAAGGGATTTAGTTTTACATTTAGACTAAAAGGAAGGTAATCGTGGGCATTTTAGTGAAATTAATAAATGCTTTTGAGGCCACCAAAAGAATCATAATGACAGATGCAAGTGGATATTATCCCTAAACGGTTGGTGTAGCTAGATCATATACTTATAAATAATATAGATAGGTGGAATATAAAAAGAACTGACCAACTATTTTTACAAGTCAGCGAGGGAGACACAACGATACTGATGAACAGAGAACAATATAGAAAAAATGAAATTATTCTCTGAGTTGGGCAATCTATCGAATATCACCAAAGAACCCAGTAGCAAGAAGGAAGAGGGTATTGCAAACAATAAATACGTGCAGCGAAATCAAAATTGCACAATGGACTCACTATTACGAAAGGATGCAAGACCACTGACAGCATACTTTTTGTCCAAAATACGCACTGGGAATTATAGGCAATAGAAAATAATACACAAACCTGCTAAATTAATCTGTCTTAAATTTATGATGAACGATAGGATATTAAGTACTGTGAACAATTCGCATGAATTTTCCTAGGGATCAAATTGAGGGAATATTGGCGAACTTTGGCATGCAATCAATTTATGAGAACATCTCAAGAAGAAGCACTGCTGGAGATCTTGGCAAAAGGAGGTTATCCTTGAAAAAGAGCCAAACTGTAAGAAGCCCTTAACCCAAATAATGAGAACTGAAGGCAAGGACTACGTAATTTATGTTGGATTACCTTTCATTTCGTTTGGAGAAGTGAGTGGGATTCATAAGTTGGTTCCACCTGAGGCTGTGGAGGGTTGCCTTGGAGCTCTGATTGTAGATTTGTGAGAATAGGTTCTCGGCGCACCGCCTTGCGACCCCGATGAATCCTTTCTAATCTTTCGTCTGTCATCTGATGGGCATCGTCAGAGCAGGGTACCTTGGTTAACGATAATTCAACAAAACACGAAGGCAAGAAAGGTGGCCGGCTTCGAACCTACTTCCTTTATTGAATATATGAAGACCAAGATGTTGTGGCCTCTGGTGTGGTCGCAGTCTCCTTTCGATTGATAG